TGAATAAGTTTTGGTGGACCTTTTCTACCTGGAATAGTTATAGGAAATGATGTTTGACATAATTCTAATTCATATCGAGATGCAGCTGCATTACGTTCTGTTTCATTTTGAAATGTTATTTTAGCCCATCCAGTTAAGTCATTTTTTGTACGTCCAACACGAACGTGTTTAGGTGTTGGACCATTATTTGTTTGAAGACATTGACGAAGATATGCTTCATCAATAGTTATAGGTAAATTATCTAATTTAAGAAATTTATCTTTCTTTTCATTGATTAATATACATTTTAGGATACTATCATTACCATATCGTTGAATAATATCATCAGCAGTAATATTTGATGGAACTTGAATAACAAGTTCACGACCCCAACTTTCTTTTTCATTCTCACGAGATCTTCCAAATTGATTTTCTTGTTCAATTAAATGAGAAGAAGAAATTTTACTAATTGCACATCGATATTTATCTTCGCTCTTAAAAACAATATAAACATGTTTATTATTTGTATTCTTGTCTGTATGAAATCCATGTTCTTTAATTTCATTCCATTCAATTCCCATCATTTTTTTTATCCAATCTTTTAGTTCATTCGTTGTTTGACAAGGAACATTTTGAAGATTCATTTTCAATACACTAGACATTTCATTAATACGTGTACAAACTAAACCACTTTGAAATTTAGCTTTAATTGGTCCACATTCTAATACATCATAAATTTCCGAAAGTTTTTTCGTAATTTCATTTTGACAACGTTGAACAACAGGTAGTATTGTTGATTTAGTTGTTTCCGGACCTGAAATCATAAATCGACATTGTGTTCGATCATATTGATAAACAATCCATTTCGCCCATGATTCTGATTGATAAATTTTTAATTTTTCACGAAGAAGATTTGCAAATTCTGAACCAATACAATTGATTGTAGTTAAATTTTGTATTGATGATTGTATAACAACATCCGATTTTGGTATTGGATGAAGTCTTTCAATAATATAATTTCCTGTTGGTAGCTGAGTAATGGTCATTGCAACAAAATATTGATAAATATCTCGATCTGCATCTTTATTAAGTTTTTGCATAAATACACTTGTATTTGTAATATTTGCACGAATATCTGTCGAAACTAATCGAACACCTTCAATGGGTAATTCTGGAACAAGTAAATAACCACATTGTTCAGGAAATAGTTTAGCAAGATGAATACCAAGAATTTTATTTGTATCTTCAGACATTTCATCACGTGGTTGAAGCCAACGTGCATTTCGAATCTGTTTCATAATTGATAAACATGATGTATAAATATGTTGTAAAATTTTATTATTTAAACTATTTGCATTACTATATTTTATTCGGCATATACAATATTTAATTAATTTTGAACATTTTCCTTGTAATTCATTTCCACTTGCATTTTTCCATGCATTATAAACTGAATATAAATGAATTAAATCACTTTTATGACTATGTGCTTGTAGTGCAACACGTGCTCTTGCTTCTTCTTTATTTCCACCCATGAAAAAAATTGTTCCAGGTGCTGAAAGAATTGCAACAATAGCAACGACAAGTTCTAATAGAGTTTTATATTCCATATAGACATCAATAATAAAAGAACTTAGACGAGGATCAAGACTAAGTTCAGTAAATAATTCACCGCGTTTAGTAATTTTTTGTTCATTGATACATTGAAGTTTTGTAAGAAGATCGAGAGAATTATGAATTGTATCTGAAGGTGGTTGATCCATAAATGGGAAAGTTTTGGGATTAAAATTTAAACGAATTAATTGTAAAAGAACAAGATCAAGTGATGATCGTAAGATTTCTGGTTCAATATTTTGTCGTTTTAATTCTTGATCTTCATATAAACGAACACAATGACCACGTGCTGTTCGTCCAGCTCGACCTTTACGTTGATCAGCTGATGAACGTGAAATACGAACAGTTTCAATAACAGTTAAACGACGTTTAACATCATAACGAGCTTCTTTTGCTAAACCAGAATCAATAACTAATCGAACATTTGGAATTGTTAATGATGTTTCAGCAACATTTGTACAGAAAACAATCATTCGTTTATCTGTTTCATTAAATTTAATTACTTTTTCTTGATCTTCAGGTGATTGAGAACCATATAAAGGAAGTGGAACACAATCATCAGGAAGTTTAGATTTAAATGTTTTCAATGCTCGTTCAATTTCACTTTGACCAGGAAGAAAAACAAGTGTATGTCCTTCATGTTTTGGATATAATTCAATAATAGAAGGAACTACATGTGATATAATTAGTTTTTGATCAGAACAATTAGGTGGTGGTGGTTTTTCAGCTGTAGTTACTTCAAAAACTCGACCTTCGACTTTTAATGGTGTACTAGTAGAACGTTCAAAAAATTGAAGAAAACGAATTGGATCTATTGTTGCTGATGCAATGACAACATAAAAATCATTGGGACGTTTTGAAAGTAAAAGCTTCGAAATACCAATGACAATATCAGTATTTAAAGAACGTTCATGAGCTTCATCCACAATCAGAACTCGTATATGTTTTAAATCAGGATCACGTTGACTTTCTCGAATTAATGCTGCATCAGTCATAAACATAATATCGGATCCAACAACTCGATTACCACTACCAACTTGATAACCAACAGAATTACCAACTGATTTTCCATCATATTCTTCAGCAACACGACGTGCTAATGAAAGAGCAGCAACAACACGTGGTTGAGTACAAACAATAAGTGAACCAAAATGTTCAGCAGCATATTGAGGTAATTGAGTACTTTTACCACTACCAGTTTCAGCAGTTACAATTAAGACATGTTCACGTTCAAGACGTTGACAAAAATCATTTCGACGGCATAGAATTGGTAACGATGCTTTTTCACGCTCTTTATGTCTTTGTTCCAATGATTTTGAACTTATTTTCTTTGATTTTTGATTTTTCTTGTTCTTCTGTTGTAGATTGAGGTTACGTTCTGGTGAATGAATTTTCAAACATTGTTCATTTGTACAATCATCTCCTTCTTCACATGGATTCCATTGTGCTTGATGAAGACGAGTGCAATTAAAGTTTGAACATGTATCTGGTTGATCACATATAGATGGTCGTTCACTTGGATGATTAAGTTTGCAAGAAATTTCACGACATTCACCTCCTAATGGACAGAGTAAATTGCTACGTTCTTGTGGATGTAAACATAAACATTCTAGATTGGTACATTTTTCTTTATTGGGACATCGTCGAGTTCGAGTATGTGGATGTAATTTTTGACAATTCCATCGTTCACATTTTCCACGTAATTGGCACATTGTAGCACGTGTTTTGGGATGTAAATATTTGCAATCTGCATTCTTGCAATTACTACCACTAAGACATGTTCTTCGTTTAAAAGGATGATTAGCTGTGCAATCATAATCTTCACATTGTTCTCCATCTATACATGGAGTCCATCCATCTGGATGATCAAAAGTACAATCGACATTAAAACATTTTATACCGTTGCGACATTGTCCTCTCGTTGTGGGATTTGTAGATAGTGTTGAACTGATAGACTGGAATGAATTTGTTGACGAACAAGAATCGCTTCTTCCACGACCTAAGTCTGGTTTTGTGTGGGCTAATTCACATTTTAAATCTTTACACGATTCATAATTTATGCATCGTTGATGGCGATATTTACATTCACTACTTTTCTCTCGACATGTACCTTTATTTGCATAACGACACAAAAATCGTTTATCTTCATTACCTTGCTTTTTCGTTACGTTTCTTGTTAATTTTGGTTCTGTAGACGAAGGTCTAGAGTCACATGGTTGATTTGCTAATGGTTCGATCCTAGATTCAAATGGTGTCCGACTTGTTTGATCATTAGAACGTGATGAAACAGTACATTTAATTTTTTGTCCTTGAATTGCAGCACCTGACCATTGTTGTACAAATTCATTTGCGTCTTCTTCATTGACAAAACCATTGATCCATGCACAAGAATTATTATTATTATTGTTGAATGTTCTTGGAATAGAAACTCGTAATGCTCGTGGTAATCGAAATTCTTGAGCGAGTTTTGTAGAATCCATCGATGGAGGAAAAGAAGTAATTCGAACACTCCACTTACTTGACGTATTATTTGATGCCATTTTATTCTTTTGTAAAATTTAAATCTAATAATAAACAATTTTCGATTTTGGAAATGATGTTGTTATGAAGAAAATAATACATTTTATTGTAGAATATATAACAGAAAAGTAGAGTGGGGAAAAATATTCTTTGCTTTTGGGTTTTTTCTCAGTTTTTTTCTTGTTCTGCTGCTAGACATGTGAGACAATGCTTCGAACAGCGGTGGCAGCTCGATTTTTTTCTTTTTTTTTGTATGTGAGGGTGCAGTTGTAAAATTTCAGACCACAATAAATACTTTGTCATTGTGTTTTTTCCCAGTTTCTTTCTTATTCTGCTGCACACAGTGGTGAAATAGCATGAGTCAAGTCGTGCAACAGATTTCGCTGAAATTCTAACCACCTTATCAAGAGTGAAGAAAAAAACACATCTTATCTTCATAATAAATAACAAAGCAAAAGTATCTCAAGGCACTTTAGTGAAGTTTTAGGCGTAAATAGAGAACTATGGTGTGATGGATACGAGAAACGCTCAGCATCACCCTAGAATATATTAAATTTGAATTAAAAGTTCTTTTTAAAATAATTCTTGAGGGTGTGGATATAGTTATCTCTAATGCAAAGAAAAGAAAAAAAAAGAATTTTTTTTTCAAACTTTGTATACACTGTAATAGACAGACCACTTTTATTATTCTTTGCTTTTATCGAAAAGTAAGTAAATGCAGTCGGTATCTTTTTTTTCAAAAGTTATATCTACAACATGCAACAGTTTCAGGGTGGGTCTGGGCGTATGACTCGTGTCTTCTCTTTACCTACACCCACATACTACTTTTTCTGATTTCAGATTATATTTTTGTTTCGTATTCTGTCAACTTTATACCGATTAAAAAAATGACTGTATCTTCAGACAGATCCGGAATAAATGTACCTTGTGGTGAAAATGTGACAAGCATGCATTTTGATGATGATAGTTTGGTAAAATTAATTACAAATGAAATCATCGAGATTTTGCAATTGGATGAAGATGAAATAGGATATGCAGTTGTTAAGGATTTGTTGGAAAATGGTCGACAATCATTAGTCAAATATAAAGATGACATTATACCCAAAGTATATAATGAAGTTATGAACGGTACTGATACTCGATTGATGAGTTCATTAAAAAATTATTTTCGACTAAACTGGGAAATATTATATGGTTCAGCACATTCATGGTTCATTTCATTTCTTCAACAGTATGAAAATGGAGAAAACCATGATATATATGAAGTTGTTTTAACTCGTACAGCTGAATATGGAAATAAATATATGAACGATTATCCATTATTGTCAATTATTCTACAATTTCTTTTCGAAAGTATCGATGATGACTGTCTAGAGGGAAAAGATAATGTCTTCGATGATTTGTGGATGACAATAACTAATGATGGTTTACAATTAATAACAAAATATTCCGAGTATATTGTTAAAAAAGTATTAAATGAACAGTTAAAAACGGATTCAGTACTATTTAAAGTATTACGCGAATATTATCGTCCAAATTGTTTTTTATCTCTAACACAAAGTTCTATTCCAAATAAGGGAAATATATACGAATTAGCATTAGATGATGTTATTGAACATGGGTGGTTAAGTAATATGAAATCTATTCAACATGATATTACGCCAAGACGTTATGAAACCTTATTGAAAAACCTTCATTCTTTTTATAAGAAGCAAAAACTATCTGAAAATGAAGATTCGAGTGGTTCAGTCGCTCCAGCATTGAAGATCGATGTAAACGATGTGCAGCAAGGTAATGTACATCTAATAGGAAAGAAACTATTGAATTCGACATTGAGACTGTTCCTGATTTCACTGACATTTTGAATCAGTTCTTATTCCAAAATAACATATGATAATTTATGTAAATGGATTTGTTATTTGTATTCATTATTTAGAATCTTCAATCGAAACGAGTGAATCCAATATAAATCAACTGGAAATAATAGATGCAAAGCAAAATGTAATTTCAACGAATGAACCATTAGCAGATACTACAACTGATATCGATGTGTTGAATCATGCTACTACTACAAATATCGAGAATAACAATGCTCAAAAAGGTATAGAAAAGTTCTTAAATATTTCATTTTCTATGATTCACAATTGAAATAAAACCAACGAGAATCAGTTGCTTAGAGATGGTTTAGTTTCATAGAAAGAACATTAACAAGGTATGGGTGGGGTATTCTTCTCATTTATGATCAACACCCGTACCCACACCCGCACTCACTTTGAAAATTCCAAAAATGCTATTTCTTTTCATTCTTTCAAGATAATCAAGAACAGGAAGATAATGAATCGACTGTCTCATATGATTCAAAGACTAATTCGGACGGCACTGATAACATGTTCGAATGTAGTAAAAATGCTATATTCATTAGTGGATTACCGACGAATATGTCCAAGGAACGGCTGTTTGATAAAGTTAAAGATGTATTTTCTACTTGTGGTAATATTACAGTAAGTGAAAGGAATATCATAGAAAATGATGTTTATGCTCTATAATTTCATTTTCAGACCTATGGGAAAACAAACAGACCGGATATTCAGTTATTTACGAAAAAAGACAATAGATCAATACTTATTGGCACAGCAATGGTAAAATTTGAAAAAGAAGATTCGGTGATGAAAGCAATTGAAAAATATAATAGTGAGTTGATATATGAACATTCATAATCATCACAAGAATATATTCATTATTATTTATATTTCAGGAAAACAAGTACCAGCATTAGATAATAAGCAAATTAATGTTAGATTTGGCAGAGTGAAGCGTGAAAAGATAGAAATACTATCGAAATCAACAGAACCAAAACCAAAAGCTAAAGATCATTTTGAAAAAGATCAAAATACAGTTTATACAGAAGGTAGTGAAGAAAAACTTTTTGTTTACCACTAATGAATGATAGAAATGTGTGGACTCATAGTAAAACAGACAGCTACTGTCTACAAGTTTGTTTAAATCAGATTTTAAAAGTGATAAATACGTAGGAATAATATTTTGGTATAAATCGAAACACTTTGATAGCTTTTACTGTATTCAAGTGCTATACTTAAAGTCGAATTCTCAGCTGTGCAATCTTTAATTACTTTTTATTTTTCAGTATATAAACAACAACAACCAAAACGTGATCAATCTGTCAGTTCAAATGGTTCATTAAATAGAGCTACTGATTCTGTTGATACGCCAATATCCAGGAAGAGCGTGATATTTGTCACTGGTTTACCAACGAACATGCTTGAACAACGTCTGTTCGATACACTATGGGATGAATTTTCCAATGTTGGTTCAATTAAAGTAACTGAAAGGAAAATGCTATACAATAAATTTGATATTGTACTATTTATTTTTAAGATTAATAGAAAAACCAGCAAACCGTGTATATGTTTATTTAAGACAAAAGGTCTCAAGCCACAACTCACTGGCTCCGGAATGATCACATTTGAAAACGAAGAATCAGTTGAAAAGGCTACCAAGATTTACAATGGTGAGTTAAAATGAACTTCTATAATTATGAAAAGACTATATTTATTGTTTATGTTCCAGCGAAACAAGTGTCTTTATTAAATAATAATCAAATAACTGCCAAGCGATTTAAAATAGGACCTGCTAAACCAACACAATCGTTTGAACCACGTTCGCAATTACTTCTTCAACCACCGTCAGTGCAAATGCCTCGATCAGGTAGTTAGCACTTAAAAATAACAAAAAAGAAATACATAAAGTGATTCGACTTGTAAAATAATTTGTCGTAATCCAACGTTCTAGAGAAGTAACATTTATTGAGAGGAACGTTTAAATGCCGTGTGTATCTAGTGTTCACTGTTGATCCCGTTAAATATTCGGATTGATTAATCTATGTCTTGTTTTTTTTGTAGAAGATCAACCCGATGGACCAGTAAGCATCTTTTGGGATATCGAGAATGTACCAATTCCTGCTGGAAATGATGCTTTCGAAATAGTCCGCAAACTACGACAAAGATTAATAAGTGACCGAAAATTATCGGAAGGTACTTTTAAAACTTATTACCGCAACGCCAATCACATTCTTCCAGAACATCGAACCAATCTTCACTATGCCAATGTATTGGCACAACATATAGAAAGTATCAAGTATGGAGCTGTCGACATTCAAATTCATAAAGATCTACAACGGTTCATAGAGCAACATAAAACGTCTGCCACAGTGGTTCTTATAAGTGGAGACATTGACTTCATCAACGATATAAATGAGCTTCGGTATCGCCATAAACATTATACTATTATTATACATAATCCACAAGCGAAAGAGCAACTTTTGAAGACAGCTAACGAATTTATTCCTTGGGAAGAATTTATTGAGAAGAAATGTAATAATGAATCCAGAAAACAATGCACGTTCAAGA